TATATGTAAATTAATTCATACTCTTACAGATGATTACTTGAAAAGACTTCTTGTCTGCGGGTAGGATCAACCTATACCTCAACCGTGCTTTGTAGTTCATGTCGTATGTGTAGTGTTTCCACACTATAGATACAACATGGACTACATAGCGCGGCTGAATAACATAAAGGATGAAAATGTTCAACAATGATATCCTTTATTCAGATTACAACATGTTTTGTGTTATCTGATTGTTGACACTACAATTAGATATAAAATTTTTTTTAGAAACTACTTTTTTTCTTAAACCAAATGAAGAATCTTTATATTTTTTTGTATGTATTTTAACGTTGTCACATTTGAATTGACTTTAAAATAATAATTGTAATTACAGTGAGCAGGTAATTTTTTACTGACCAAAATTAATTTCTGTTAATATTTTATTACTGACCCTAATACGGTACAATATAGTAATACACGCAATGCTAAAACGTTGGGCATGTTATTAATAAGCTAATCCAGTAGTGTAAAACAAAGTGGTATGATACTACTCTGTGTTGCTGCTCTATACACTCTCTAATTATCTATTGCTCTGTATGTGTCTCTGGTTAAAAACTTTAATTTGCTTAAAACTCGTATCATCGTATCTTCATTAACCTCACCTTGTATCAATGACAAATACAAACATTTCCGCGAACCTTATCTTAACATTTCTTTCTATGTGGTTATCGTAATTAATCCTAATATAAGTAGGAAACAATCGTGTACTAAAATTTACCAGTAAGAGTACCTCGGTGGTGTTGTGCTAAACCGCCTTATTGATAGCCGCCGCGGCGCCTGTTCGATTTCTTGTACTGCGTTAACACTTGTGTTCGTGACTAGGATTGTTTGTAACGGTCTGTATTTATTTTCTGTGTATAATATGCGTTTAAAAAATGAAAGAAAATAATTTCTCAGTCAGTTGTCTATACATATAATATACAATTCTTTGACACAAGTTCTTACAAAGTAAAGTACCCTGGTGTTTCAGGCTTCAATAAGCTACGGTAACCGTTTACCATCAAATGGGCTGTAAGATAAAAAACTACATCATTCCAAGAGTTACGATTACTATTATGTTATTATAACAAACTCACAAAGTTACAAGCAACGAGACAAGGGCGGGTCACAAGGCAAACTTTAGCAAACCTATTGTACATTTCCTGTACGGACGTAATTTTTCGGTACTGAAAGATGGCAGTGCGCTCCAATAGCCCATAAACACCATTATGCCCCATAAACCTTGTCCATGGGGCGCTTGACTGTCCATAAATCCTACAAGGCGTCCACTTCGCTGATTCTCGCGGTTGGTTTATTTTACTACATTACCCATGTGTCAGGAATTTTAGTTCAAAAGTGAACATCGTAATGTTTCGCGTTTCAGTTATCTGTTAGTTGTACTTAAAAAATGGGGATTATTCCATTCAGTATTTTTTAGATCATCTAATATTTTAATAGTTTTTTCTATGATATAGACACCCAGTAAGAAAGGACGTCCAAGTAGAAACAAAACAATTGTCGCGGAAGACGAAAAAATACTTATGTAGTATATTCATTCATAATAAACATTGTAATATTGTTATAAAGTTATAACAATATTACAATGTTTTCTGTGCATTAATCTGTTGTTGAATTCCTTGTTAATACTGAAATGGTGCACGCGATACAATCTTTATTGATCGAAGCTTTTCTCCTTCTACGTACATTAGTGGAGCGACCCTGCGAAACGACTATTTCGTTCGCGTAATAACGCTATAAATATCATTAACAGAATCGTTTCTGAAATATAATTTTGAAAGCGTCTTTCTAAACTTTAATAAATTAATTTTACTTTTAAATGTATCTCGATATCTACACTTACTGGGAGACAATTATACATTTCTTCTTTAAGAACCTTTTTTTTTACTTTCTAATCCTTCGTTATTTTTACATTTCTTTTAGTAAAAAAAAAGTTAATACATATCTTTAAGTTCCAACGAATTTAAATATCATTTCTCAGACTTTATATTAGGTAACTAAGTTTGGAGAATTATATTATTAAATTTATGAAAATCATTTGAAAATTAATCTTATTGTAGATCATTGTTATATCTTCTTGGCAATTTATTCAGTCATTAAACTTATAACTCTGCCAATTTCAAATATTCGGCAATAATATTCCATGTTATTATATGTACTAAAGACATTTATAAAAGTTTGAGCTGTCTTTTATTCAGATAATTAAGTTTTATTTGAGTCAAACTGTAGCTATGCCAAGTAACATGTTATATTTAGAGGCAAGTTCGTAGACGACCATTCTAAAATGGAATTGCCAGTTTAAAAATTATGTTGATATTGTACATTGTATGAATCTTCAAAGATCTCGATACCGTTATTTAGATTCTTGAAAATTAATACAATGTTAGGTTATATAAGATTATCACAATGATATGTAATGGGTTAGACTGCTTTAAATTTATTATATAGTTCTCGTGCATTTGAAGACCCTCAAGCCTCAGTCACAGTTGTAAAATGAGGACGTAAATACTTAATCAGTTTCTATTTGCTTGTTGGACTCCTATACGATGTTGCAGTTAAATATACGAAATGTCGGCATAGTAAGGTATATTTCTATTCATATATGTATGTGGCCATTTGATTAATACTTGTAGCTATCGCATCATAAATTTCATTTTTGAATAACGAATCGACAGACACGATGAGAAATGTAAAAATAATATTTCATCTGTAAAACCCGAGGGGAGCAACGCCGTCTGCACTTTAAAATTGCATTGCACTCAGTTGATTGCTCAGTCGTAAAGCAAACTGCAGGTACTGGAAAATCTCTTTAAAACCAGTCCAGTGACGACTAAACACAGCAAATAGTACCGGTTGAAATGAAATATGGAAGCGAAAGATAAATAGATAATAATATATATATACATTAAAGTTCAATAAATATTAAATGCAGTTCAGCATTTAATATTTATTGAACTTTAATGTTTTTACGACTTAAAATAGAAAATATTTTAAAGCAATAGCTATATTTCATATATTAACTCTATAGATATTGACCCTTATTAGAATTTGTTGTTTATAAGTGAAAAATTTACACTTATTCCAAATGGAACTTTACAAATGGAGTTTGAGCAATACTTTAAAAAGTAATTAAAGAATATCGGCCAAAATATCGCGTCACAACAGTTAATTCTAAATCTAATTATTTCGGTAGTCGTCATTAGTTGCTTTCCATTTAACATATAAGTGTTGGTAGAGCGCCAAATGATAAAACCACAGAATGGTTATTTTGCAAAATGTTTACACAGAAATTGTGAAAGTTGTAAAACTCCCATTTTCACCGGGCCATATGTTTAATTAAATATTACACAATACATGACTTAGCTACGTGGAAATTAAAAATATTTATCATACATTACACGACATTGGAATTTATCTATTGAACGATATATTTATTCGTTTAGTTACTATTTTATTATCTTTTATTTAATGACAACACTTTTGATAGCATTATATTTTTCATACGTTGTCTTGAGGACTAGGATATGTCTAAATCCAGCAATTTCACTGTTATATCTCACCATACAAATAAGAATAATATAAGCAAGATTTTTGGTGGCACGTTGTAAAGGGAAATATGTGTATAGAACTAGAAATTAACACTACTTATTAGTATGTTTTTAGTCAACAACTCGCCTTCCTAAGGTCGGTGACATATATAAACTTGTTTGAAAAGGACCAAAAATATAATGGTCCCAGTACCAAGCAGCGTAGATAGTCCTGGCTGCGGAGAAGAAGGAGAAGCATATGAAGGAAGGAATGTACTATTCTACTCGGCTGTGTGAAAGATACAGGCTGAGATGATTATGATCATTATGTTTTTGGTTTATATTTTTATTTAAAATCATAATTTCATTGTTCATCTATATTCTAAGATGTGTTATATTTTTTAGATTTATTGACCAAAAATGTACATCGAGGGTTATTTTAATGGGTAAAAACTTTTATTTGAAATCGTGTAAAGTGTAAAGTGTGGTAGCAATTATGAATTGACCATTTGACGGTTGCAATTGTGAATATCTAATTGGAACTTCCAAATGGTCCATACAAAGTTGCAAATCTATCAAATTCAATATGAAATTATTTAGATACTAAGATATTTTACAAAGAAACTACTACTGCTAATGAGTTTTGGATTCGACTACAGTAATATCTATTGCTTTTAGTCTGATTCTCCAAACACGTAGATTTGAATCTTGCAAGGCCAATGAGGGTAGCGACGCGGCGGCGCGGCGTCGCCGTCGGTCGATATGTCGCGTCGCGACGAATCCCTACCAGCACTATAACACCCACGTGTACTTATAAAAACAAGATGTTTTTTATATGATTACTAGTTGTCCCGGCAAACGTTTTTCCATATAAAGTAATAACGCTATAAAAATAGGGATGATAGATGGGTGAAAATTTAGGGTTGTATGTATTTTCTCCTTTAACACTTAGGGGTATGAATATCTTTTATAAACCTATTCACAAATCTACTTACATACATAGATATAAAATTTTATCAAAATCGGTCAAGCCGTTTCAAAGGAGTATAACACGAAACTTGTGACAATAGAATTTTATAATTTAGAAGAAGATATAGACTGTACGGTGTTATCGGCTGGTATATAGTTGTATAAATGAAAAATTGTAACAGTCGGTACTCTCGCCCAGCTTCTTAATTAATTTCTTTTATCCTGTCCAAGTCACTAGTACTGGTCATCTCAGGAGATATTGTAATGTCTGAGACATAATTATCTACCAATTTCTAACAGTTCACCTGCCAGATTCAAATTAGATGTTATAATGCTGACTAATTCTGATCTTTGATTATCATACATGGTTGTCAAGGTAATATATTTTATATAAACATAAATGTTGCATGTATATATGTGTATATATACTATACGTGATAAATATTAATAATTTTCATTTTCTTTCAGTTATACAAAATCCAAAAGCACCACCCGGCGTCAAAGACAGCGCTAAGAGCTTCAATTTCGATTTTTCATACTGGTCACACAACGTAAGTAAAATTTACACTACTTAATTTAGGTTATCATTGCCATGCTTTTACACCATTATTTGGGTTCTGTGCTGTTCTGCGCTGTACACTCACATCAGCTTCCACTGGTCTGTATCATTCGTAATTTTTACACCTACTCGCCTTTTATTCAAGCATCCATCCATGTTCACACACGACTTTTTTAAATCATGTCTTTTTTAAGATAAAATCTATTACTTCTCTTTGTTACTGATGCAAATATTAAATTTCCATATATATAAAGATTTTTTATTTCGTTATTCCTGCTTATCCTACACATGCAGCTCATCATTCGCGTTCTGCCACTTGTACTCTTGCTTTCAAATTTTGATATTAACAATCAAAGCCCACAAAAAAGCACTTCAACTGCATAAACAAATATACGATACGAAAGTAAATCAATGTCGATATGATAAGATTGGCAGTTTTACTCGATTTTGTGCAATCCGCTTGTGTGCTTCACGAGTTGATAATCTCTTTTTATTTTACGATTTTCTTTATATGGTATAATTTCTAGTGTAAAGAAATATACGCGATTCCTTATAGTAGGTAAACTTAAAAAATATAGAATATTAATAAAACTATTAATTTGACAACAAAATATTATTTACTATACGACAAGGAAACATCAGTAGTATATTAATGTGTATTAAACGCTAAAGTTTAAAAATTATCAGTAGATTTTCTACTGATATTAATTTTTAAACATTAGCGTTCACAAAAATATTATACGATCTAAAGGTTTAATATTTTTGAGAGATGATTGTTAATTGTTAAGTTTATATAGGTTATTCGCATAAATTTGTACTTTACTTCACATACATTAGATTTCATCAATTCAAACAGGTACTGTCTACTTTTCTCAAATAATTTCCTGTTTCGATTCTCAAGTAAACAATTTTTGAAAGGTTGACATTTAAATATCTCGTTTATGCAAGTTTAATATTACATTCTGAGTACTATAGGTGTAATACATTCACTGTTAGGTCTTTCCGGTACGCTGCAATATGAAGTTAATTAAAATAGCCCCTACAAAGCACTAAGCAACCTAGGGGTATTACAGTGCTTTAAAAGCAAGTGGAGAGGAGAGTGGGCTGTTTATTAATTTCCTCCCTAATAACAAAATCAAAGGCAACCCTTTATTGCATGTAAGGGTCACTGTGTATTTAGTAATATCTATAGCCCTATAGTATATGCCTGCAGCCGACGGACCCTAGTATTACTTATAGCATTCCTGGTATAAATATATACATCAATACCAATTTTGCATACTAGACAAATTCCAATTTAGCTATCAAAGCAAATTGTTTCGGGTCTGGGATTAAAATTGAATATTGAGGATTATAACCCCATCACTGAATATATAATATAATGGTATGAACACGTGTAATATATTCGAGTTACCAGCCGTAATCTCACCCTTAGGCCCATGGGGAGAGGTATAGGGGAAACAAATTGAAATTTTAGACACTGTACTTATGCATTAATACTAATGAAATCTAGGTATACCTACCTATATGTACTTTTAGCATCACACTTGTGTTCTCTGTTTTTACTTTTTAGCACTACTTTTGCTTTCTGTATACTTACATTCGTACATGTAACATTTAGTTAGGATACAGATAATGTTACATAGTTAGGATAACTAATTAATCTAAAGCATTTGTAGTATATCATAATGATACAACTTAGAATAGTTAAAACTGAATTAAAAAGTCTTTGTATGGGAATAATTAAAACTAAATTAAAATAATTTCACAAATCTTATGCCAAAATCAAAACGAAATCCAAATCATACACCAAATAATTTTGGTTTTGGTTTAATATTTAAAATTATTGTAATTTGCACTTGCACTTCAAATACAAATAAAGTCAAAATTATACAGGAAATTTCTGGTGTTAAGTCTGCAATTAAATAAATATATTTTCTGTATTTTCAACGTGATCTTCAAAAAATGGTTCTCGATTCTAAATGTGTGTTTTGTGCAAAATCTTCACCGAAAGTGGACTTGTTTTAAACAGACGACGCAAAAATGAGATGTCTAAGTTTAACATGCCTGTTGTTTGTAGCATTGTAGCTTCAAAACAAATGGACAGATTTTTGAAAGCTGACATGGTTCATATTGTACTACGGAATTTTTTTTTTATTTATCATTATTATCATTATATTAATGTCGTTTGTAGAACAAAATCTACTAGTGATAGTAGTACTTACTATTAGAATTATGTTTCATAATAATTAGTAATCGTAAGTAATATTATGAATAAGAAACATTAGTTATTTATTTGTAAACCTTAAATAAATACCAGATAAAAAAAAACTATATTAGTGTGTAGTAATAGATATGTCCTAAATTTTATATAAAAAATGAATGGATACAACAAATTCAGGCGGGTCGTTGGTAACACAAACAATAATAATTTTCAATACCATAATCTATTTTAATACTATAAATGCGAAATTGTCTGTCTGCCTTTTTCTTACCTTTTTACAACTAATCGGTTGGAAGGATTTTCTATCAAATTTGCACGGGAAAATAGATTATATGACGGACATAGGCTAAAAAAGCAAACGAAGTCACGGGTAGCACCTACTAACGGTATAAATCGAACAATACATGTAGAGCGCTTGAATTATGGCCGATGATAATCAGATTTTGCGCCAATCACCCAGCTGGACCTACCGTGGCTTATTTTGGCCGATCGCCATATTGGAATTTGATTCAGCCACAACGTGATTATTGGATTACAGGTTTACGGGATCTATGGCTTCCTTGTTGCCTTATTTAAGGCAATTTTCATCTATTATTGTCGCATAATGCTACTATTAATTTATTTATAAAGATATACTATGTAAGTTGAGTTTTATTCAAATCTATTAGTTAGCTATTTAGTGTCGAAGACGTAACAATCAGACTTACCAATAGACAAATTTTCACATTGAAAATAGTAGCAAGAATTAACAAAGCATTTAAATTAATCAATTTCTGAACACTCTATGTACTTAAATTTTAAATTAGATCTTGTTTTAAAGTAGTGACCATACAAAAGATATTATTACATTTAGACTAGAGGGTCTGACAGTATCAGGCCCTCTAGTCGAGTCACATAAGAAAGAAATTATTAAATCTCAAACATCAAAATTTTGCACAAAAACATTTCATTGAAGTTGCAATAACACATAAATGATCAAAATGGATTGTACCTTCATTTGGTAGCGGTAATTACACAGAATAAGCCACGAACGGAATAAACCACAATACAACAACATTCAACATAGAAATTTTCATCCAATAAACCTCTGGTGGTTGAGTTTGAGCTTTGCCCAGTTTGTTTCAAATTGTGTGCGGTTATTAGGTTTTAATGAGTTTACTCGCCAATTTATACGAGTAGTTCTTTAACTATTTTGTCGTATGTACTGAATTATTGTGAGATATAGTTGCGTAAATTGCTTTCGAATCTGTAATATAGGTGAAAATTCAACCATGCACATTAAAAATATAATTTCATACTGTTTTGATTGGAATGGAAAACTAATGCAGTTTTGCAATCCAATCAAAACTTTTCTTTTATCGAGTATAATACTATTCCATAATTTTCATTAATATTAATTGGAAATGTCAATTGTTTGTCTTTTATTATGTTTGAGAATAATTTATTTATCATATCATTATAAGATTATTGCTATTCTGTCGTATTATTTAGTATAATAAAAAATGTACAAGTAATGACGTTTTAAAACTACCGTTATACATATTTCATTGAGGGTGTTGTAAAAATGTAACTATAAAAATCAACAAGTGATTTGTTTTAATTAACTTCAGACCGAGAAGCTTTTACCTAATTTGCAATTACAACGAGAGAATTTCGAGAATCGTAGCAATTTATTCAAATTTATTCGACAGCTTGCGTCGGCTTGCCGTTGGTAGATAAGATTTTAGGATAATAATAACATTAATTTTGCGCACAATTATTATACTCGGTACTAATTTATTTTTTACATGGTAATATATTTGCTCAACAGCTTGTTCAAACGCAGTGATGTAAAATAGGGCTTACAGGGTATAGGAATTAAATGGAATGGAATCGAAACGGATATTGTTAGTGTCTATTTTATTATTGAAACATGAAAGTTTTTATATTTATTAAATTTTATATATTTGAGTAAATATATCTAATATTATTATTACTGTTTACACATACGAAATCAAAACATTTGACTAAGTTTTTCTCGATTTCGCACACTTGTAATTGTTATTGTCAGAATGTTTTTTTTAAAACAATCAACATCAAGTATTACTCGCTCAAAATGTAACTCTACAGGTGAAAGAATTTTTAAAATAGGTTAAGTATTTATGGAGTTTATACACTAACAGAAATTCAAATAATTTCCTCTTTGCAATGTTAGTTTATTACAATATAATTTTGTTTCCAGCCAAATGATCCGGAATTCTCATCCCAAATCATGGTCTACAAGGACATTGGGGAGGAGATGTTGCAACACGCTTTTGATGGTGAGTGAATTTAATGGATTCCAAACACCTAATTCTACCGTAGAAGTACTGGGTCAGATTCTGTGACACTACATCTATTGCTGATATGTCTATCAAGTTCGGTCTCAATAGTTATAGCTACCATAAAGCTCAACCTCCTTTTCTTCTACATACGCAACGTTTTCACTAAGAAATAATTTTTTAACATTTTCACTAGATATCAGGTGCCTTGCGCACTTGATTAATAAAACATTGTGGTCTGATGGTGTACGGCTACAACTTATAAAGCCATATAAATATCGTGAATTCGAATATGGCATACATTAAGTTTTTGTGTTATTGTTTATTTAATACTCGGTGCATGCCATATTATCTAGATAAATAGAATGATCATTGGTGATTAGTGTTACCTTGCAAAATTATTCCAAGGATTGCTGGTTGATCAGTCATTGCCACGTTGGATTGTACGTTGTACGTTGCGTCTACCATAAAGTTGACAGTTGGCAATACCTCAATTTACTCTATGGCTAATAAAGTAATTGCCTCTAGGGTAACTTTTTCTTTTTAACTTTCACAGCCACGTAATATTCGTAATTGTAACGGTCAGACGGACAGTCTCCTAATATACATACGCAAAAACATTACATTACAAAGATCTAGTGATTGTAACATGTTGAATTGCTAAATTACCTAGTTACGTAATAATGATGTGGTTATTGGTATGAGAGGTTCTCCTACAACCATTCTATTGTGCGTTTAGGACATTGACTCGTGTATTAGTCAATTATATTGTATATATAATAATTGCAATACCTTATGAATACATATACAAGTGTTTTCATAAGATTTATATTTATTTGTATTGTATGTAATTATAATTATGGACCGATAATTATGGCCGAAGCGGGTCGTGTATCGGCGCTGCCGTGACAGATTGCCGTCGTTAGTGCCGTGACCATAGAAACAAATTATTTTTATATTATTATTTCTTATGTATGTTAGTGTATGAGATATTTAGATAGCTCATTAGTAGCCTGAATTAAATAAATAAATGTAAGCATACATATGTCATGCATGCATACATGCTTAGCTTACATAGGTGGTATACCGTAACAATAAAAATATTTACAAAATTATTATATGTATAATAATAAAGAGGTAGACAGCAAAAAGTGTTGCGTAAACCAGTTTGATTTGTACACTGTGTTTTGGTTGTACGGTACAGATTAGGTAGTGAAATTACAGGCATGAGATCTTAGTCGTCTGGAATGACACCGCATAAATGGTATCATGGGTGTAATATTTTGTCCAGTGCTGTTAATGTATATAGGCGACGGTTACCACTTATCATCGCCCACCTGATAGTCAGCTTTTTCATTCCAATTAATTTAAAAATATATATGTCATCACCACAATAAACTGAACTAATTCAGTATAATGTTATAATCATAGACCAAAAAAAGAAGATTTAGAAATAAAGTAACAAAAACAGTAGAAAACTTCTTTGTCTGTGGTTATAATAATGAATTATATATTTATATTTTACGAAGAAAGTGAAATTAAATATCGTATATTCGTGATTGTTTTCGCCGTCATTGTATTGTTTTTACATTCTAATAAGTATTTATTTATGTTCAGGGTACAATATATGCATATTCGCATACGGACAGACGGGTGCCGGCAAATCATACACCATGATGGGCCGCGGCGAGGACGGACAAGAAGGAATCATACCACAAATATGCAAGGACCTGTTCCGACGTATCAGACAAACCACTGCTGATGACCTCAAATACTCGGTAATATTTCCATTTTATAAAATCATAAATTTGTGTCGAGACAAAAGCTGTCTGTTAATCTGTTTTTTCGTTAAAATTTCACGTAAAGAGAGAGGCTAGAGAAATTAGAACGAAATATTATATATAATAATAATATATTGTGATTTATGGTTTAACATAATAAAGCTAAAGAAAGCTAAGAAAAATGCTAACAAAAGTGGTAAATTAATTAATATTTTCAATATTGTTATGTTCGTTTACTGTATAATATGTGTTGTGTATGATTGAACGTTAAGATATAAGTGAATAGCCTAAAACAAGAGAACAAATACCGAGCAGGTATTTTAAAGTAACGTATGAAATACCATTGATTGCCAATGCAGTCCGTTAATTATTAACGAAATAGTTATAACCCTTTTTAAGTTATTGAATTTTTAAGCCTTTTAACTCTTGAATTGTGTTTTTGCTTCAAAGAAAGTAACAAAACAGTGCCCTCGCTAATATGAGTTAAATATTTTTAGAGTTTTTTTAATAAGTGTAGAATACATATTTGTGATAGTGATGATTATGATGATGATAACTGATTAGGTATTTATTATGTTTGCCAGGTGGAAGTATCCTACATGGAGATTTACTGCGAACGTGTGCGTGACTTACTGAACCCAAAGAACAAAGGCAATCTGCGTGTACGAGAGCACCCTGCTCTCGGACCCTACGTGGAGGATCTCAGCAAACTTGCGGTGACCTCGTACCAGGATATATACGACCTCATTGATGAAGGCAACAAGGCTAGGTGAGTCCATCAATAGTGTAGTGACATTTAACACTATTTTGTATATTCATCTACATTAAGAACAATTTTATATGGTATGGCAATTTCAAAGGACCTGATGTTCGTTGTGTAAATGTAATGTAAAATTGTATTTCTATAAAACAGGACGGTGGCAGCTACCAACATGAACGAGACTTCGTCCCGTTCCCATGCCGTTTTCACCATATTCTTCACACAACAACGTCACGACAAAACTACCGATCTTATGTCCGAAAAGGTACATATCCCATTTTGTTATTTAATAATTTTGTATTCTAATATCTACGATGTAGGCAATAATTTTGATTGTCAATTTTTATACATAAATCGAAAATAATAAAGTACAAAATGCTTTTTGTACGTTATTATTTTCGATTTATTCTTTACACTCAATTCTATTAAATAAATACATTTATTCCAAATAGGAATATTCCGATAATTCTCAAATTTATTATTCGTTGTTGTATTAAAAAGTTATTATTATTTGTAATTGTTGTGTTGAGGGTAGAAGCTTCCATTTGCTTACTGAAATGGCCACTATTTCGGGTGGGGATCAGTTGTGATCAACCTATCGCACCGTACGTTATCTACTATTATAAATATAATAGTAAGAAAATAAATAAACATAAAGACAGTTGAGTTGGTTTTATTTGTCGGTTGATTGTTACCATGAGTACAACACAAAGAAAATGAGTTCAGTAATGGTGACGTTATAATTTTTAAAAGTATCGTATGTAATTAAAAACATAATATTTTTATATGATTTGAATGTTTTTGTCAGGTGTCGAAAATATCCCTGGTGGACTTGGCTGGCTCTGAGCGAGCTGACTCCACGGGAGCTAAGGGAACGCGTCTGAAGGAGGGCGCTAACATTAACAAGTCTCTCACAACGCTCGGAAAGGTCATCTCGGCTTTGGCTGAAATCGTAAGTTCTCTACCTTTTAACACCAGTGTTTTATGGAATAATGTATTCAACCTTTAATCTTAATGATTTTTGTAAGTGAACTTTGTCTCGTCTCTTACAATCATTGTTGATAAAAGTGATTTACAAACTGTGGGGTTTTTTTAGTCCAATCTTGGGGAGCCGCGGGTAAAAGAAAAAATATATAAATTATTGGTTCATTGCTACAATAATAAAACTACAAATTAATATATTTTAAGAACAGTAATGTGTAGATTAATGTATTTTATTTTATGTGTTATTTTCACTGCGTACCATTACTTTGGAAATGTTTAGTCGGTAAGTTCTGTGTGTGTTTCTCAGTTTAAAAAGTGCAACAATATACCACCTATAAAATTGATAATATGTCTATTATATACAAACAAATGGCTTCGCCTTGTAATGGACATGGGTTCGATTCCCGCACAATATAATGTGCATCTTCATTCAGATAATCAGGTTTTCTTTGCATATTATGTAGGACACAAAATGTATTGAAGTATGTCTTTTGGTACGCATACTACTTGGAGCTTTGCTTAATTTGGGACTACATGGCGATGTGTGAGTTCTCCAAGTTTATTAATGATATTAATAAATATAGTTTTGTATATTTTTATAACCACAGGCATCAAAGAATAAGAAGTCCAAGAAAGCTGACTTCATACCATACCGCGATTCAGTCTTGACGTGGTTGTTACGTGAGAATTTGGGCGGGAACTCGAAAACGGCCATGATAGCTGCTATTTCGCCGGCGGACATTAATTTCGACGAGACGCTCAGCACACTCAGGTAATGTCAACCAATATAGAGGGAATCTATATATTAATACGTGAAGTAAAAACTTTGTACCCCTTTTTACGAAAATTGCGCGGATAGAGAAGTATGAAGTTTCGCAGAAAGTCGAAGAATATTAATATTTGTTTAAAATGCATAAAATTATACATTAAATCAATAAAAAAACATTATACATACTACTATATATATATACTATTTTGTTTATTGTTAAAGTCTGTGATCAAATTAAGAATAGATTAATATTTTTTGTCTTTAATATTATTTCTCTATACTCTTACAGAATGTTAAATTAATAATGATCTAATTTCGACAATTAGTTTGAGTAATTCATAGGATATAAATATTGAAAAACGAAAACAAAATCATCTGTGTGCCAATATTTGATTCATTTATTTCTGCCACTATGCAGTTTTTCGTAATCTATTTTCTAGTATTAATGGTGGTATGGCACTTCAATTACAGGTTAAGGGGGCATTACACCTACTGGAATGGTTGTACATGAGAATGAAAGGTATCACAGACGTTAGATCATGTGATTACCGTAGTGCGATATATAGTATAGGCGATGGTTGTCATTTTTTGTTAGGTGTGCCGTCATATTGTTTGCCATTCCTGTCAAAATCAGCATATCTTTTATAATTATTATCATTCTGTATATATTTAATGGCTTCGGTGGTCTAGCAGTTTAGCACATTGATTTACTGCCGATGGTTGCGGGTTCGATTTCTCGCAGGGCACAAACATTTATATTTATATTTGTCGGTCGGGGTATTTTCTACGTATATTATGTATATAATATATATAATTTAATACTGAAGTTATTTAATTGTTGCAGATATGCAGATCGCGCTAAACAGATCGTATGCAAGGCGATCGTCAACGAAGACGCGAACGCTAAACTCATCCGTGAGCTCAAGGAAGAGATACTCAAGCTGCGCGAACTGCTTAAGGCTGAAGGGATCGAGGTGGAAGAAGGTATGCCCAACTAATTTACTACTTATTGTGGCCTAAAACAGAATGCTCCCGTTAGTCGACATATAAAGTGACAAATGACTATGTTATGATAGATAAAAAATATTGTTAATAATTTCCTAAAACATGGCGATTAATAAAAGAAGGTATTGTGAAATAAGTATAAATTAATTGCAATAACAATATCGAATAAATTTGCTGTGATCACAAATATACGAGATATGAAATATCTCTAAAAATTTAATATGCGGTAAATTAAATTAAACCATACAACTGAAATAGAAGTCATACAATGACCATACTAGATTCTCTTCAAGGAAGAAAATTAATAATTAAAGCTGTATAATACTTATGTCCTGGTGTTGATTCGAGTGCATGGTAATAAAAAAAGTAGGTGTAAATAATAAATGTCAATTTATTTGTCGACCTCGGTGCAGTGGTGCGTTGTGCAGATTATTTAGGCTGTATAGTCGTCATGTGACCGAATAGAGCGTCTTGTGACTGTGTTAGTCATCTAGATAATCGATAAACGCCACAATTATATACTATAACAATGTTCTATTTGATACTAAAATTGAACTTTTGTTTCCAATAATCCACACGAACGAACTAGGACCAGATGGTAGAGTCGTTTATGAAAAGAAAGAACCGCCTACCAGTAAGTAATATTAAGGAGAGGCTTACGCATTCTGCATTTGTACACCCCACCTGTACGCTTAGCCTCCATCTTGATTTAGGATTGCCAGATACAAGAAATAAAAAAAATGTTTATGGCAGAACATTTGGAACATTCTCTGGCAATCCGACAAAAAAATAAAAAAATAAGCAATTTATTTTGCACCCTTGTCCAGCTTGTGGCGTTCGTAGGCGTAGATATATATTTATATATCTATCATAACACCTCACTATTAATTACATATAAAATATGTAAAGTGGAGTGAATTTTTATAATACTTATTTGTATATGCGCTTATGTTTTATTGGTGTTGGTACACAAAATAACAAAGGAATATTTGTACTATATTCGCAAACTGCATACATAATTATTTATCGCTCTGTGTAATATAAAATTTAAATTAATCTTTACCAAGAGTGCCAAAGCCAGCAACAATTTAAATACTTGTACTCTATGTTCATGTGAAGTTAAATATAATTTTATATTTGGAAACTTAAATAAATAAAATAAATAATTTTGACGCTCGTGGTAAAAATCTGAGCATGTCAACAATTTTACCTAAATTACTTATTTGAAATTTATTTTTTATTTCGCTCTAAAATTTTTATAACTGTATAATGACGTGAATATAGTAACTTCATTAAATTCTTATACATACTTATAAAAATGTTAATTTTAGCTATAAATCAATATTATCTACTGAATTTAATATGAATTATTATTATATTTTGCCAATTGATGCTATATAATAAACATTTTTGATATGCTCAGTTATAATTGGTATATATAGCCCGTTCGCGTCCATTTCCTAATCTTTTATTGGCAAAAAAAGAAAACAGTAAATACGTTCGTAATAAAAGAAAAAGAAAACTGTAATATAGGCCGCGGACGGATATCTTTTGTTTTTTATGCAATAAAAAACAAAGGCTTCTCAGCTTCAACAGTCATGCATGTTTTTCTATATCTGTGTAATTTCTTAAATGTCAGTATAAATTAGCTTTTTGTCATAATAAATATATATCTATATACATATAAAATACTATACGTGCTAATAGGCTCATGGTGTTTGGGTATATATTATAATATTATTATTAATTATATTTTGTGTATTGCACTGCGGTAATTGTTAATCGCCATAACTAACGTTTTAACTTTTACAGTATAGTTTTTTATTACTAGGTAATAATGAAATAATGGTATTCGTCTTGTCTATGTCTTTACGTATTTGTGGCGTCTACACTCTTGTATTTTGTCATGAAGATGTTAAAATATTATCTATGATTGTTACCTATATTTATTTAGAATTAATTCGATTTAAAATACCCATATTAAAGTCTATGTACTGTTGCAACTACAACTTCTCAATCATATATAAATATGTATACCTACCAACATATATATAAATATACCTTTTTATAGTTTGGGTTTTTCTGTGATCAATTTAATTGTCTACAAAAAAAATCATCAGTAGGTATATTTATTTGATACTACGATCGGAGATAATTTAGCTTATATTAAAAAGATAGATGAAAGAGTTTTTAAATTCGCTCAATACCTAAATAGATAACTTCTTCCATACTGACAATTTGTGTCACCTTACATCAATGGTATGTCCGAATTTTAAAAGGTCGGCAACTCGCTTACAATTCCCCTGGTGTTGCGGCTGCTCACGGGCGGCAGTAATCGTTTACTATCAGGCGAACCTCAGGCTCGTCTCTCCCCTGCGCTGTCACAAAAAATAATAAATGTCTCTAACTAATTATGCAATACAAACTGAGTTAATTATTTCTCTATTGACGCCATAACGGTAGACCCTACTATTATTACATTTGGTATACACCGGTATGGAGACGGATGCAGGATATTTTTATAGCAACAGAAATTGTAGAAATAAAAATTAGTAATTAATAAAACTAAAAAAATCTTATCTAAAATGTAATGAATACCTGTACAAATATGTACATACATATTATATATTGCATTAATATCTAATAAATTTATATAGCATTTATGTTGATTGTTATTATTCTCACTTGCCTCTGTCTAATGTAACAATTGAATGTTTGGTACAGCGGAGGCGACATCGCCTATACGTAAGAAGAGCGAGGCTGAAGTGCTGTCTCCGAAATTGTCAAGAGCCGCCACTACCATCGCGGAGGAGGCCGTCGACCAACTGCAGGCTTCTGAGAAACTTATTGCTGGTATTTGGCTTGATGAATTTTTTTAACATGATAAAGATGTATTTGCGTTCTGTGTTCAAGTATGTGGAAACAAATACTCATAAGTCCTTCTGTTTGGAGTGCCTTTTGCACTCACCCCCTTTTTAGTCCAGTAAAGCTATAATAGGAATATACTTTGTACTTTGGCATAGAACATTTATGACGTGCGTGCGCGCATGTATGGTTTCTAATGAGTTACAAACTATTTTCGAAACATTCATGTTCGTACTATACAGGTTATGTAGATAGAGATAATTAATATATCTCAGTCTCAACTCTGGCGCGTAAATAAAATTATAACTAAGCTTATATTAAGTTAAAGTTTTTGTACTAAAAGAAATCTGATTCCTGCGACACAAGCCTTGAGCTTTATACAAAGGTTGTCGTTAAAACATTTTGTTTATATAGATAATCTATAAGTAATTTCTTAATAATAATCTGTCCTCAAGAACTGAACGAGACTTGGGAGGAGAAGTTGAAGCGGACCGAACAGATCCGTGTGCAACGCGAGGCCGTGTTCGCTGAAATGGGCGTCGCCGTCAAAGAGGGCATCACTGTAGGCGTGTACTCGCCCAAGAAAACACCGCATTTGGTCAACTTGAATGAGGATCCTAATTTGTCTGAATGTCTCATCTATTACATCAAGGACGGTAAGTTTTAACAGAAGAAATAATAATAATTGTCTGATTTTTAGCTTTTATAGTACAGACAATTACGGCAGTCGCATTCAGGGGGCATGAAAAACCAAGTGAATTAAAGTTAAAATACTTTAGTTTTTTAATAAAAATACTACATTTTAAGTACTAACTATCTATAACTAAAATACGTGTTGACATGTTGTATATGTTGTAGAGCGTTCGATTTTAGAACGAATATACTTTAGAAGTTGTATCGTAAATCACAGTTGCGAACAGAACGTAGTCAGCGTTTTAATGTTGTATTTGAAGTTGGACAGATTTAATTTCATTAACAATATTCCAAATAAATCTATAAAACTACGATATTTACATCTATAAATAAATATAATACTATCTATATTTGTTTATTTGCCATGTCATTTCTTGATAGTATAATGATTCGGTTTTAAAATAGTATTTTATTTTGTAAATATTAATAATTTGCTATAACTTTTTAGGTATAACCCGGCTGGGCACCTCTGAGGCAAATGTGCCACAAGATATACAGCTGTCTGGATCCCACATACTCAGTGAGCATTGCATCTTCGAGAATACCGACGGCGTCATCTGCCTCATCCCGCACCGTGGCGCCCTTGTTTATATCAACGGACGAGAGGTAAGCAAAACTTCACTTTTAATTAATAATGTCTCAGGACAATTAATACAGCTCTAACTAGTTCTTACCTAAGCAGAACATTGTATTATGGATGCTAGACCACTGATATAAATACTTACACACACCCAGATCCATACAAACAATCCTATTCATAAATACAAATGTTTGTGCCGTGGAAGGAATCGAACCCGCGCTATTGGAACTAAAGCAGTGTGCTAAACCGCTAGACCACCAACGGAGTCAAGTTATTAAATAATACATAGGAGAGGTCAACCAATGAACGTTTGAACATTAGTAAGGTTCTATTGTCAAAGATATTATGTATTATGATGTCAAGATAATACATGGTGTATTTGACGCACACACGCGTGTGTATAATATTTTTTTATTTATTTAATGTATTTACATAATTTAAAAAAATATTTACAATCTGAACTTGTTCTTATAAGTGTGCATTATTCATACTCCTCCGCTGTTTTAAAAAGCTGTACAAAATTGCTTCACGTATTAATATAATAAGATATCAATAATATAATTAATATATTCAATTTATGTTTAGAAGTCACGAAACTAAGAATTCTCATTAATGTAATGATGTATAAATAAAATATAATTAACGTAATTCGATTTGTATTTGTAGGTGTCGGAACCAATAATTCTCAAGACTGGCTCCCGTGTTATATTGGGCAAAAACCACGTATTCCGTTTCACACACCCCGGCCAACGTCATGAGGAAACTGTGTCCAACAAGGAGCTGGATGATGCTCCTGGCACCGGCGAGATCGAAGGTATAAAATAATACTATTTTTTATTTCTTAGTTGTTTAATTATGTTTTGTTTAGAAGAATGTTGTAACTTGAGCATTTATTATTGGATTTAGATCTCAAATTGTAGAACACTATGAAAACTTTGTGTCTCGATTCAAATTCAAAATTCTTTATTTAGGTAACACAATTTTACTACGCTCTATACAGATGTTGAAGACTCCTTTTAAGCAGTACCTGTGCCTCCACTCTACCATAGCTTATATCAAACATATTTTTTTGTAAAATGTTCCTAATTTAATATATTATTTATTTTAATACATAGGCAGATTTCTGATGGATTCTTCACTGATGACAGAAAACACATGTCATGTAATATTTAAATATTGATTGATTGATGATTAATGTTGTGTTCATTGTAATTGTAGTAATAAAACATAGAAAAGAGATGTGTATTTAAACGTTTACTATAACAGAGCTCAATGACAGTATATATAAAATCATAGATATAAAGAATTCTTCTATTGTAAATTTGGATAAAGGAATATATAAAACTGCCAGTATCATATCTGGGATAATATTCGTGAAACTATGTATTATGTGTTTATTAAGTTTTGTATTTTCAATATTATATTTTCTATTTATCTACAGACATGTTAACGTTGGATGATCTTATTGGAGGTATAGATATTGTTATGAAAATATCTATTACAAGAAACTATTTCTTTACGTGACTTTTGATTTTCCTATACTTCATTGTAGAACAATATCTTATAAACAATACAATAATATAGAATACTAGAATTAAAACGAATTTAATTTTATTTAGCAAGCAACACAGAAAATGTTGATTGGGACTTCGCACAATGCGAGCTGCTCGAAAAACAGGGTATCGACCTAAAAGCTGAGATGCAGAAACGTCTTCTCGCCCTCGAAGAACAATTCCGCAGGGAGAAGGAGCACGCCGATCAACAGTTTGAGGAGCAGCGGAAGGTAATTGAAATGTTTATATGTTATCATATAATATAGAGATAAAATCTGAATAGAGATAAAATAGAGAAAAAAAATTGGTAACTTAAGACACAAGGCCACATTTTTGTGGGATATAAGTGCTGATGACCCACCTACATTACATATGTATTTAAATATATATATATATTGTATTTAAGTATTTCTGTCTGTTGTCTAAAACCCATAACAAAAACTCTGCTTAGCTTGGGGCTATATGGATCTTTGTGAATTGTCCAGGGTTATTATTAATTTTGATAGCATTTTTCCGGTAATTTCGTCGTGGTTAGAATCGCTTCTTTCTTTCGTTTGTCATATGTCTATAATTGGTTATAATGCATTTGGAGACATATTACAATTGCTATAATGTTCAAAGTGTATTGCAGTTATATGACATTGTGACGTTTACAGAACTACGAGGCCCGTATCGACGCGCTCCAGCGCCAGGTGGAGGAGCAGAGCGTTACCATGTCCATGTACAGCTCGTATACACCTGAGGACTTCCATAACGATGAAGACATATTCGGTAAGTTACGTGTTATTTTTCTTTAAGAAACTCAGTTCGTACTCTTTTCAAATATGTCCACAATAATACAGACTTATTTTTAAATTCAAATCTAGGAGTATAGATTGATCACTAGTATATGCTATTACGATTTTGTCAAAAGCGATTCTCAAATCGACCGTATAATACGTGATACCTTCGCCAAATGTATATTGTTTTGCAAATTCTACTCGCATTCGACAAATAATTTTATCAAAAAAAAAAATACTGTCTGTGCCCTAATAATTGCACATGGTGACTATACGTTTCCGGTTTGCTTTAGTGAATCCTCTGTTTGAGACAGAGTGTTGGTCGGCTCGCGAGGTGGGGCTGGCCGCGTGGGCTTTCCGCAAGTGGAAGTATCATCAGTTCACATCGCTCCGTGACGACCTCTGGGGGAACGCTATATTCCTGAAGGTCAGTTCACGCCTTTTACCTTTTTTTATCAATTATACTTGTATTTTTATTTATAAAATGAAGTATAGAAAAAGTCTTAAATTCTGTAGTAGGTACTTATATACTGTTGATTTAAAAACTTTTTTTTTCTAATATAATAATCAGTTCATTATTAAATTGTTGTAATAAATATAATAAAATTTGTCACCCGTACACAGGAAGCCAACGCGATTTCCGTGGAGCTCCGCAAGAAGGTACAATTCCAATTCACGTTGCTGACCGACACGCCGTATTCACCGCTGCCAGCCGAGCTGGCGCCCCGCGACGATGCCGATGACGAATACCGACCCTGCCCACCCACTGTGGTCGCCGTAGAAGTAACCGACACTAAGAACGGAGCTACGCATTATTGGACCCTCGAGAAGCTACGGTGAGTACTTCAGTTTAATTATAATACTTAAGACCTTCTTATTAAAGTCTATTTTTATATCTGTATAATTTTTTCAATGTTTATTTAGTATGAACTGAAATAATATTACTAGTTATATAGTGTATGTGTACGTGAAGTGTAAGGGAATTTATCATTAATGGTATTGTTAATATACTCTATGTTAGAATTGCATAATAATTTTTTTTTATATTATACTATTTCCATAATAACAAGTTACGTCCTTAGTTTATTTCTAGTTTCTTGTCTATCATTAGTGTCTTAGGCTTTGTTTATACTGATATTTTTCCGACATATTATGCAAATAAATATATAATGGGCATGAAAATGAGTATACATACGTATATATTAATACTACGATTAAAAAAAATAAAATCGCAAAATTAACAAAAAGATCTTTACACTTTTTGCGTGAAGTCTTTGAATCGTCATACTGAATATAGTAATTCTATGCTGCTATGATGTTTAAAGAGTCCGAATATTATATGAGAATTGACCGACAAAAACTAGAACTGTAGTAGGTCACAAAACATACCTGCAAATTCAATTCGAAATTCCCTTGAACTAATTTGCATGAGCACGGAGTAGTATGTATGTTTTTATTAATGTAAAAAGTTCTGTAATGTGAGTAGAGTAATTGTAAACGAAAGAGACACGGCAAATACGATTTGATTCTGAAAATGTTGGTGTTTTAATCAATTGGAGTTTTTTCTCGTTGAACCTCGTTTGAACAACTATTTGCAGTTTTGTGGCTTATTTTTTAATGTTTCAAATCTTATAGCGAAATATACCAAAATCAAAAAACTTTATTAAGCCTAATGAATTTGAGTAGCAGCTATGATAGATTTATTTTGAATCATTGACTATAATTCGTTTACATTTAGGTACTCAATTGCCTGTTGGTCGAATTACCCCAAAAAGGTTGAATATACATACATATTTATATTACTATAATTACGAACTAATATACGATACAAATTATGGAATTTACGAATATGTAATTATAATACATAAATATGTGTATTTATGAGGGGTAATAATTTTGTGTAGTTATATACATATATGCCGGTATGTAGGAAAGGTTTATTACAATTATTTGTTCATTCATTATTCATACTATATCCAAAGTGTGTTTATTTTTATTTTATATTGCGTTTTAAATTTAATATACTTATAAGTAAACGCGAGATAATTTCATAGACTTATTTCTTTTATTTTGGTTGCGTTTTTATCTTTTTTTAATATATTATTTCTAATTCAATACATATTTATGAACATTTATAAGGGTATGTTTTTTTTTGTGAATTTTAAATAGACAGATATTTTTTTAAACATAATATTTACTCATACTTGTAAATAGGTATATTTAAAAGTGTGTAATATAAATTGTGTGGTAAGTATTGCTTCCTTTTAGGTTGAATGTCTGGGTAGAGATGTGAAATCTTACAAATAATGCTTGTTTATGTTGCCGCTTTTTATTTTAGTTTATCATTATTAATTGCTAATATATAATATATACGTAATGTTTTTTAAATATTGTTTGATACGATCTTCGTCACTACATTCGCGTTGAATTTATTTATTAGGTACATGTCATGTAATTTGGACTCTATAATTTTTACGATTACGAAATATTTTTTTGAATTCCACTGTATACAAAACCGTTTCATTACATATTTGAACTATCTATATAGAAATATGACACAGACAGTAGTTACACGCAGACACTGAATTTATAAATAATATTTATAACACTATCGTTTGTCATAAAAATATATGTAGTTACAAACCTTATTCCTTTTATGGCTTTATTATATCTATGTATATATATTATAAACTATAGGATCTACGATACGATACGATATCACTTAGAGAGCTTTCCGGGTGGCATCGAAGTGTACACATTCATATGCTCGAAATTGTAGTTATTACGAGAGGACATGTGTTGTCACCAAAGCCAGAAAGACACTTAGAAAAGGAATTGAAATAGGCAGGATATTAATACAGGAAAAACAACTGTGCAAGATTTCCGATAAAAATAAAGAAAAATTATCATAACCGAGGCACGAGGTCATCATGGGCAGCATGTCCTCTCGCTAGGCGGAGTAGCCGAGGCGTAGGGCAGTAGGGGCTGGGCTACATGGCGATGTATTGTCCGTAGCCACCGCCTGGAGCTAATGCGTCAGATTTACAACATGAACGAGAGCGCGTACGCGGAGGAAGAGGAGCAGCCACCACTGGTGCTGGCGCCGCCGCCCGCCGTCGCGGCCGTGACCGCCTCCGCTTCCGCCTCCGCGTCCGCCGCCACCGCGGCTCAGTCCGAGATACTGCAGTGTATATCCGCGTGCGCGCAGCAGACGCGCTTGTCGCTAGCCAATCTGCTGCCGTCGAGGTTTGTTGTCGCCTCGCCTCGTCTCGCGTCGCCTCGCCTCGTCTCGTCTCGTCCTGCCTCGCTTCGCGCAAGGAGAAACAAAGCAGCGGCTGTTTAACATATCGTTAAAAATATAAAAATGTGTAGTGTTTGTATACCTTATTTTGTATTCATTAAAAATATTTAGTCCCAAATTTAAATATTCATTGGCAATACAATACTGAAATTTAATTAATGTATTCGTAAATTAATTAATAATAAACAAAGATTTATTTTATCTGTTACTGATTTTATAGTAACTGTTTTGTTTCTACCTTCTACTTGATTGGATCACGTACACGTCGGCTTAATTCAAGAATCCGTTAATTTGAAACCCATCCGACGTACCCCACATGTAGGTTTAGTCAGTTCGCTAGGTCATCACTACACCGACATTGTTATGGATGTTGTGATAGCTTGCATAGCTTGTGTTGCACATAATTATATTGGTTTGTTGAACATAAAACACGAATTTGTTTAAAATAAGCTTTGTAATTTTATTGTACAAGTATGTTGCATAACTCAGTCTTTATAAATCGAACACCCTGTGTGTTAGTCGATACATTTGTTTTTATTTTATTTCTGTTTTTACTGTATAATTTTACTATATCAAAATTTATGTAAGAAGTCATTGGTAAATAAAAGAACAGAAATAAAAAGACTGTTACTTTACCTAAGCTTATGTTATTTTACAGTGTATATAGATCATAACTTTTTTACTCTGTAACTATATATTCGCACATAATACTCTGGATCATAGTCAACGATGTCACTATGTTTTGTATTATACCTGCATTGTGTAGTACTTCTTGTACATTATTTTGTACTATATTCAGAAATATACCAACCCTCAAGTATAAAATATTATTATTAAACTAATAATGTTGCATTAATGAATGTATGCATCTATAATGATCAATATCTTTTATATTTTGTTTTACTTCTTTTAATCTTATTGACTAATTTGTATATCATTAAAATTAAATTTGACGAACGAAATATATTGATTTACAACCTCTTAAATACGTGTATTTGTTACCTAACTGTAATATTTTGACAAAAAATTTAGAAAATTTAACTGTTTTAAATTTCAAATATATATGAAATCATTATATCCCATATCATAAATGTCCACTTTTAAAACATATTTGCCCTTTTTATTTGATTTATAATTTTCGCTTGCAGTGTGCTGATGCTTCATGTGGAATGTACAATAATAAATGTATTCGTGATACTAAAGTTTTTCCAAGTGATATAGTTTAAATATGAAACTATTTTTCAATTGTTTTTGATTTATTACAAATAGAGCATAAGTAAGCAATAACCTTTTATTTCTCCCTATGCATTTGGAAAAATATATAGTACCTTAATTTTACCTTATATTTTTAGTTACCCATAATTTTACCCTTTCATTAGATCTTGTTTTATATACCTAACTAATTAATAATAAAGGAATGTTCTTATTGTATTCATGTTAAGTTAAACATGTGCAAAGTGTACGTCTTGTTAATCTGACATGTTTAAAGCTTTCATCTATTTATATAAATGATGTAGATCAGAAAATATTTGTATGTGTTAAGATTTCGTGCCTTTAACATAAACTGACACTTTGTTCAATATATCCTGCATATTTCAGTTCTATGTAGTATATATGTGGCATGCATACGTGATATGTATTCATACGTGCCTACTACGTACATAAAGTGTATACGTAAGCACGTATACGCATTCTACTGCTGAAGTACGTAGGTTGCAAAAGGTATGTACTTCAGCGGTCGAGCTGTATGGTATTTTTCAAAATATAGTTAAACTTTGATCTATGTATTTTAACACTGAACGAGTATAAGTCCCAGTGTGATATTGTAGAAGTAAATAAATCTGCTACAGCTTGTTCAATACACAAACTCATTGATAAAGCTATTTATTTGTCGTTGTGCGGTTTGCTAAATTGTAAAATAAATAAGATTGTCTATGGCTATAGCCCTTTCCCTTTTATGCTTTTTGTCTCGGGATTTCTTTCTTTTTAAACCTTTGCCCGTCCACTATCCCAGTGCCGGATTGACGCAGTAGCAAGAGTAATTACTACAGGCTTCGAGCATTAAACCACGCCCTGTTCTCACTCCAGTCCGAAAATAGTACTACAAGAAAATAATATAATATATTTTTTTGAATGTTTAAGTACTTGTTTTAATTGTACAAAGGGAGAACTAAGAAAATTGTTATTTTTTTTAAAACCCTAAATTCGAAACTGAATTCCCAAACAATGCTATGGACCATTTTAAAATAATTTGTTACGGGCTCTGAGCTAGCTTAATCCGGCACTGCACTACCCTATGTGATTTCGCTAATTCACACAAATTATTTAGTTAAACAAAAGTTTTTTTCTACAATTGTACTGAATGATTCCTTTTGGTGGCAGGCAACGCCTGGAGCTCATGCGTGAGATGTACCACAACGAGGCCGAGCTGTCCCCGACTTCGCCCGACCACAACATCGAGTCGGTGACCGGCGGCGACCCCTTTTATGACAGATTCCCATGGTTCCGTATGGTGGGACGGTGAGTTCATAATTTCATTGACCCAATTTATTGATATGTGCATAATTATTTTAGGTAGTTAATGATCAGGTACCAAATTCAGTAAATTTACATGTACAGTTCTCATACAGTTCTAATTGTTCATACTCAAATAAAATGTCCTAAATACATTTTCAATGTTATATGACCTTAGTATGTGAAAAACTGTCGTCAACATCCATGAAAAACAATTAAATAACATTGTTTTTGCCTTGTTGTAATTAAATTTATTTAGTCTAACATGTGTACATAAAGGTCTAAAATAATTATTATTTCAAACATGCCATATTTAGAAAATATCAACATTATTCAATATAATGTTATTTTAAATTACATTATAAGTAAGACAATTATTATTTGTCCAGAGTCCAGGGTTATTATTAATGAACATATGTTTGTATATAGGAGCTTCGTGTACCTGTCGAATCTCCTGTACCCGGTTCCACTCATTCACAAGGTGGCTATAGTGAACGAGAAAGGAGACGTGAAAGGCTACCTCCGTGTGGCCGTGCAGGCAGTCATCGACGCTGAGAAAAGTTAGTACCATTACTATGTACCTATTATTACTTTGTATTATTTATTGTACACAATTGTACAAAATTCCACCACTTCACAATTCCTCTCAGTCACTCAAACTGTGTCCGATATTGTCCCATTTATTTTATAAGTCAGTTCTGTCTTTTTATACATAATCTGTACAGTAGAGTGTTACAAACAAACAAACTTTGTTTTTTTGGTAGTTACCAATGGTGTATTTCTTTTAGATAAACAACAAGATACATAACTTTTACATTTTCAACGGGTTTTAGATGAAGCCTGGTTTCAATTGCATTCAATAGTACCAACTCAAGTTTTGATATTTTTTTTTATAATTCTTGTAAAACATGACTACACAAAATAATTACAGTATATTTTTCAACATTACATACGTGAATTTATTTATTATTATTTATTCGTAGATAACGCAGAATTCGCTGCCGGTGTGAAACAGTCGGCGAAGATATCGTTCGATGACGACGTGGCGCCAACGCGCTCACGAGTCAAGGCGCTCACCAATGTTGAGAAAAACAACGCCATCAATCTAGAGGACCGTATCGGCGACCAGCAGGACTCGAACATCAAAATTGAAGGTTATTTGAACATTTTTAGTATATATTTTATTTAATTAGGTGTAATTTTGCAATTGTCCTTTCCATTACTTAATGGATTTATCTTATTTTGTTTAATTCCGCTACCATCCATGTGATAGTAACAAAATAAGATAATAAGTACTGCATAGTACCCGCGACTTCGTCCGCGTGGAATTTAACTTTGTTATTCTAAAAGTCGCGTCAAAATCGATCCAGCCATTTCAGAGATTACACAGACAAAAATTGTAAAAAATCTTATTTTGGTGCATGTACCGTTTTTATATATTTGTAAAAATATGCATGTAGTATAAAACTGTTATTTCCATATTACAAATAGACACTCCAATTTTATTTATATGTATAGATAAACATAAAACAGTATAATAATTGTCCCATATTGATGACACTTTAAGATTTTTTTGGAATAAAAGAATAATATTAAATTATGTTTATATTTGTATGTACGGTCAGATTTGGCGGTAGGTGAGTGCGATGCGGACAGCGGGCGTGGCGATAGCTCGCTGGCGTCCGAACTCAAGGAAGAGGAGCTGCCGGAACACCTGACGCCTGGCAAGGAGTTCACCTTCCGCGTCACAGTGCTGCAGGCGCATAGCATCTCCACAGATTATGCCGACGTTTTCTGCCAGTTTAAGTAAGTACACGGCGAACCGTAACAGCTGATAAACAACCGATGCCAAACACGATTTGTCACCTGATCGATCGGTGTAATCTCTCATATTCTAATAAATCTGCATGTAACCACCGACTAATAACTAGAATCCTAGTTTATTAGTCGAGCCAACATTTTGATATTGTATAGGGCTGACTCAATTGAAAATGGCCGGTCCATTTCCATGGGTTAAAGTATAAAAGTACTAGTTCAGTTTCTTTAATGTACTTGCTAGTTTTTTTTCTTCTGGATAATGGAAATAATGATTGCATATTCAACACACAGATAAAATAATATAATGTAGTGATAAACATATTCATAATTATACTTAGATATGACTACGAAATAAATGTAATAAAATATATATTTAAAACAGCTTCCTGCATCGCAACGAAGATGCTTTTTCGACAGAGCCCGTCAAGAACACTGGCAAGAATTCGCCCCTCGGTTTTTATCACGTACAAAATGTAAGTGCTATATTTTATACAAGTTTAAACAATACCGTTAATTATATTCAACCTTCACTTCTATAGTTGTATGTTCCAAACGCTATTTATCCTGCAGCTGGGCATCTGCCCATCATAGCATATCATTTTATAAATATAATAATATTTATGATGCAAAATAAGATTTTAAAACTAGTAAGGTCGCTAAACACTGTATTAGCGACCTTACTAGTTTTAAAATCTCGCTCACTACTAACCATAGCTTAATATAAAATTATTTCTATATATTTTGAGGCTATATTGCGTGAACAGCTTTTAAAGCAATTTTCAAAATTCACTCCAGTAGCGTATACTACTGATTGCGTTATATTTCTTGTGTTATAAGAAATATAACGCAATCAGTATGTATAATATGAATGATTTAATTGTTTCAGATCACAGTTCCTGTGACGAAATCGTTCGTCGAATATATAAAAACACAACCGATCGTTTTCGAAGTCTTCGGACATTACCAGCAGCACCCGCTACACAAGGTAAGTGTAAGTATTTAATATATTGTGCTTGTGCATGTATGTATGTGATATTTACTTTATATATTACGTGGTTTTACCCGAAACATCGTCTACTTTTTTAAGAAAATAGATTCGTAGTTGTTATACAATCTTTCTTCATGTTAAAGGTCATTAAGATTCGTTTAAACGTGCAAAGGTTACAACCGGACATTATTTCGCATTTATAATATTGGTATGAAAGACTGTAATCGTGACTTAGTGGTTTAGCACCCTGATTTATAGGCCTGAAAGGTTGTGACATCGGATCTGGTCGATGGCAAAATCTTTCTACATCAACTTGAATTTCTCTTTATTGAGCGCTATTATTAGAACTCTACGGGACCTCTAGACCCCACTAGTCCCATATTCCTCTAGCGCTACTATAAGAGCTTTGCGGGACCTCTAGAGCCTACTAGTATAGTCTAATCCCCTGTCTCCGGAGCACCATTACTAGAGCTTTGGGGGCGGTGCATGCGTAGGACGCGAAGTAGGTCTGGGTACGGCAGACCGCGTGGAAGGAATTTGATATGACATCGTTAATAACGGGACCTCTAGAGCCCACTAGTGTAGTGTAACTCGCTGTCCCCGAGCGCCATCGTTAGAGCCTTCGGGTGGTAGATGAGGGTGGTGGATGCGCAGGACGCGAAGCAGGACAGCGGCGTGGGCGGGCGCACTCCGCCGCGGCGGATGCTGCCGCCGGCGATCCCGATCTCCGCGCCCGTGCGCAGCCCCAAGTGGGGCGCCGCCAGCGTGGCGCCGCCGTGCTGCTCCTCGCACCTGCACTCCAAGCACGACCTGCTCGTCTGGTTCGAGATCTGCGAGCTCGCGCCCAGCGGCGACTACGTGCCCGCGGTCAGTCTCAACGCTTACTCTATATACCCTATTGTGTTTAGATACTAGTAATATATTCTTTGAAATGTATACGTATTTAATAGAACGAAATAGTCTGTGAGCATGACTGTTTTGTAAAGGTATCAAGAAATTTAAAAAAAAATTGTTCATATGCAAATACAGATAACGATAAATAACGATAAAAATATATAAATAAATTATAAATTGCCTTATCAATTGAAATATAAAATAATCGATAATAAGTATAACCTTTACCATTGTACTTTCTATATATATATACATTTCTTTGTTTTATAAAACAAAGAAATGTACATACTTTCATAATTCAAATATTTTAATATATAAAAAAATATATTTCTATGTAAGTTGAGTCAACTTTCACAATGTCTATTCATAATAATGTTTCGTTGTGTGGATCAGGTGGTGGAGCATAGCGATGAGCTGCCGTGCCGGGGTCTGTTCTTGCTGCATCAGGGCATCCAACGCCGCATCCGCATCACAATCCTGCACGAGCCGTCTTCAGACCTGCAGTGGAGCGACGTGCGCGAACTAGTCGTTGGTGCGTTTTTTATTTTATTTCAGCCATGATTAATTAAAATATTTATTTATGTAGGACATTTTGACCGCTTATGTACATTTAGTTTTTACGTAATTTTTTTCCCCTACCATATAATAATGATATCTCAGGACAATTCACAAAGTTAAGCAGAACTTGTGTTATGGGGTACTAGATAACTAATATAAATACATAGATATATTGTTTATATTAACATACATAATGTACATAGAAAACACTCAGATCGCTACAAACAACTCATGAATACAAATTAAGTCATTAAATAGTAATAATTATTACATATATACTGAATGCGAATATATCTGTTTGTGTAGGTCGTATCCGTAATACACCCGAAGCGAATGAGGATGCGTCTGACGGCGACGAGGACGGTGCTCTCTCCCTCGGCCTGTTCCCCGGCGAGCGGCCAACACTTGACGACCGTGCCGTTTTCAGGTATATATTTTATTATGTTATAGGTTGGATTATGTTTTATTTTTCATTATAAGATGAGAAATAGCGAAGTTCTAATCTTTAGATTATTATTATTATATATTTATGTCAGGCAACTAGTGCTTTGTCTCCTATACTATATAAAAATATTAAAATACAACTGTGTTGGTCTCAGGTTCGAGGCGGCGTGGGACAGCAGCTTGCACGGCTCCCCACTACTCAACAGGGTGAGCGCGAATGGAGAGGTCGTCTACATAACACTCAGCGCATATCTGGAGGTCAGTTCACTCTCGTCTGTCAATATACATCGTCTCAATCGTTCTACTACAACATCCTATTACTAACCCGTAACAATATCCACTGACAGTTTGTATATTAGTATATTCAATACTGTCTCTACGCACTGACTTATAAACGTCATACGAGTTCTACTCTTCTTTATTATTACTCTCCCATTATCCTACTATACGCCGGAGAGAGGTGCCTCGGGTGGATAGTGATGTGTGTGAAGGTTTTTCCGCAACATTATAAGCTGTGTGACGACGCAGGTGGAGAACTGCGGGCGGCCGGCCATCGTGACCAAGGACCTGTCGGTGGTGGTGGTGGGGCGCGAGGCTCGCACGGGCCGCTCCCTGCGTCGCGCACTCTTCGGAGGACGACACGCGCGCGCAGACCACCTCACCGGCGTGTACGAGCTCAGTCTGCACCGCGCGCTCGAGCCCGGTACGTACAGTGACGACACGCGCAGACCACCTCACCGGCGTGTACGAGCTCAGTCTGCACCGCGCGCTCGAGCCCGGTACGTACAGTGACGACACGCGCAGACCACACGTACCAGTGACTCATCGCCGTGTACGAGCCCAGGCCGATTACCGGCCTCTCTATAAGATTGAAAAGAACGACGCTGGAGTGGTTCACTCCATCATTACGCCCAAATAATGAGCACACGGTGGAGGCCCGTAACGTACATAGTGGCCCGTTATAACCCGCGGACGATTAGAAGCTAAACTTACTTATTACTTTCTATTCTTGATACAAAAGTAGGAAAGTTAATCAATCAAATGAAAATATAATACCTATATAATAATTGAATGATATGCCAATTAATAATGTTTATTGTATACGCAGGCGTACAGCGGCGACAGCGTCGTGTGCTGGACACGAGCGGCACATACGTCCGTGGCGAGGAGAACTTGCACGGCTGGCGACCACGCGGCGACTCGCTTATATTCGACCACCAGGCGAGTACACGAGCACAATAGACAAACATAATTCAGTCAGACATCGTCGATACTAATTTAACTACTAGAGTAAATTAAAGTTTATTCTAGTACGTTAGGAATGAATAAGTAAAACTCATGTAACCATCTCTACATTTCTCTCTGCCTTTGTAATATCACAACTTGTAATAAATTGAAAGTTTGTATTATATAGTGGGAACTGGAGAAGATGACCCGTTTAGAACAAGTGGGCCGTACGCGACACTTCCTCGCATTGCGCGAGCGTTTGCGGCATGGACACGAGAACACCGTCACACCCAACGACTTCACCAAGACAGAGAAGGTACGTCTGGCTCGAAGGACCAAAAAATTTTTATATTCGTTATACACCCATATGTCAATACATTATCTTCAAGCCACTATTATACTTAAATTTAAATCTTGATCGACTTAAAGTTAAATCCAATTGTTACGAGTATATATGAGCTTATCGGTTGTGGTTCCAAATAGTTTTTTTGATGTCAAATTTTTAATAACTTGTGTCAATTTATATGTTACAATTTATACACAGGAAGTATGCAATATGGCTGCCAAGGCGGCGGCTGAGGGAGCACGCGAAGAAAACGAGCGTGAATTAGCACCAGGCGAGAAGGACCTCGCTACCAAATACATCAAACTCATGCAAGGTAGTCTACCAATCATTATCAATTGTAACATTTAAACTTTTTAATTTATGAAATATCATCATTACATAGTATAAAATAAAGTCGCTGTCGCTGTCTGTTCCTATGTATTAAGTATTGTAATAACGTATGACTGCCTACTAAGTAAAGGCACATTACGGCGTGCCTGCTAACTCACTGTGGCGTATCTGTCTGTATTGCTTACTTATTTACTATTTCGTAACTGGAATGGAAAATAAGCTGACTAACTGATGTAAAATTCCGAGCTTATGTTCATTACAATTTCTTTGTATATCACTTTTCCAACATACAAACCAAGTTGCATAGTGGCCGTTAAAGGCAGTAAATATACTTTCAAAATATGGAAAAGAATAATGTCTGTTATTTTAACGTTTACTACTTAATGGTCATATATATATGGCATGGAAAATGTAAATAAATCGATATTTCTAAACATCTAATGCACAAGTGACCATGCTTCTTTCTCGCTATTTGTATAGAAAATAATTTCGTTCTATCTCATTTTCATTATGAATTTTATAGTTTTTATACTACGACATTGGCAAACAAGCATACGGCCTATCTGAGATAAACGGTTACCGTATATATGGACAGTTGAAATTCCAGGGGAGACAGATGCGCGTTGTCAAACCTTAAGTAACCTTAATTTTTGAAAACATCATCTTTGAAGTCTCTTTTATATTAATATATATTTGTTAATCTGTTTCTTAGGACGGATAGGGTCGTCTGGCAAAGAGGTAGAAACAGCAGTGTCGCCGGCAACGCCAGTCGACGAGGGCGTCTCAGCTGATATTTCCACACCTAGTCTACTCTCTTCCATACATAGTGCCAGCAGCTTCGAGTGAGTATATTATATGTATCTAACTACTACTAGTGATGCATCCTTGCAAGAATGATAGGAATTTCTTATTTCGATTGGAAATAAAATATAGTTGTTGTTTTTTGCTGATAATATAACCTATATATTTAAAAGAATTTTTAAAGTAGTATTTTTTGGATTTGCCTATTACAAATAAAGAATATAAGTTTTTTTTATAACGTTAGTTGATTGAATGTTACGAGCGTATACTGTATAGTTCTCTAACGGAGATATTGTAAAAATGCATTAGTCTTAAAAAAGTGTACTAAGTGTGTGAGTGTATAGGGTAATTAAAAAAATTAAATTAAAAACGGATTACGTGAGCGGGCGTTTTGTCGGCTTCAAATCGGTCCCGACAAAGAGGACCGTCTGTACCAATCGTGTATAAATGTAAGCGGGACAGTGGCCCGTCGTTGTCCCTTTTTAGATTCAGTAGCCGTTTCGTTCGTCAATCGTCTGCTACTTAATTAGTGAGAATCTGTTTCCCGCAGACTGTGCTCCCCGGAGCGCGCGCTGCTGGAGAAGTCGATGGCGGCGTGGGGCGGCGGCGGCGGCGCGGGCGGCGCGGCCGGCGCGCTGTACGTGCCCGAGTGCGAGGAGGTGCGCGTGTCGGCCGCCGTCGCGCGCCGCGGCTACCTCAACGTGCTGCAGCACGGCACGCACGGCTGGAAGAAGCGCTGGCTGGTCGGTGCCGACACACCTTCTCTTTTTAAAACGCACCCACGGCTGGTCGACACCACCTCGTGTTCTCTTTTTACAATAATATTCACTTGCGTTATTACTATACGATATTTTACACCTTCTAAAGCACCGGCTGATCGATAGGACTTCTTGTTCTCTTTTTAAAATAATATTCAGTGATGGCTGGCTCATCCGTCATACTCGTGAAACGAGTGCTGCTTGTAGGGACTGGTCTGCTCTCATCACTACGACTGATTTAATCTTATTGCATATTTATATTTGACCCAAAAAATTTGTGCTTGTTGGTAGTTTGTATTCACACGTTTCGACTTGTAAATGTAAACTTACAAGGATTATTTAAAAGAGCAACATATGACTATTCAAAAGTGCTTGAATTAAGTTTATTTGAATAAATGATTTTCTATTCTATTCTATTCAAATATATAAAATTATGTTTAATTATAAATACATGTACACCCGTGTAAAACCAGCGCGGGTAGCTAGTATAATATATACCAAACATTTTTGACTAATCAGATCACAGTGGCTCTATGCATTTGATGATCTAATAAATTCTACTTTAACCTTGCCGGGATTTATTCACCTTTTTTACGATAGATGCACATATTCCACAACGCGCTGTTTTACTGTAATCTAAAATAAACTTCTTTTTCAATCGATCAGTAGTGTTTCAATTTACAATTCGTAATACAATAAATAGGTAGACGGTTCTTTAAGTTGAATTTTCACTAACCCTCCATTTATTGACCTCAAATAATGTTCAAATGATGTCCCTTATCGACAAGGTGGTCCGGCGGCCGTACGTGTTCATCTACCGAGATGAGCGCGACCCCATCGAGCGCGCGGTCATCAACCTCGCCAACGCGCACGTTGAGTACTCGGAGGACCAGGAGCAGATGGTCCGCATGCCTAACACCTTCAGGTGACTACCTCTAATATCACTAGTACATTTTACTACACTAAGAATTATACATAAAATTTCAACCATTATATTAAATTTTGATATATATAACTACAATGGAAAATAAAGTAATAACAATCGCCTATAGTCAGTATTCTTCGTCTATAATCGACGCAGTCGACTTTCTACAATGTCAAATAGATAGATAAAACTATTTTCTAATCTTATCTAATAAATATTTGCAGTGTGGTGAGCAAGGAGCGCGGGTATCTACTGCAGACCCTCGGTGATAAGGAAGTACACGACTGGCTGTACGCCATCAATCCACTCCTCGCGGGACAGATTAGGTGAGATCATTCTATGTGAGACATTTAAACTAAAGCCTGAAATTGACGATGCATAGAAACAAACAATTTTTACTTGGTCTCCTTGAATAAAAAAATCGATTATCCACCTAAATAGAAAAAGGTGAATTTTAATAGAATCTGCAAATCTGAATTCCTAACTTTTTTCACGTCTATAAAAAAGGCTATGTAATAACTTTTTAATTTTTAATGACCGTCAAGTTTTACTCTATCCAATAAGTAGATGGTATTCACGCAGCTAACCGTATAAAATGACTCCAAATTGCCATTAAAATTCCCTTCAGAAAAAGTTTATTCAATAAAACTACTTAAAAAAGAAATACACATTACAGAAGCAGCAAGTTATGCGTATACACTTAATGGACGCGACATTTTCACATGCATCGTCAGTGGCGGGCTTTATATCATAAATTTGACTGGGATTCCAATAACAATTGAACTCCCATGACCCAAGTCAATATACACGCGTAAAGTTGTCGGCACGCAGGTCCCGGTCGGCGCGGCGCGGCGACAAGCAGCTGCCGGCGGCCGACAAAGCGCAGCCGCAGACCGCATGAGACAACCTCACAATGGAGTCTATCCTTGTTTTTTAAGTGCGTCACCGACGGCCACCTCCAACATAGGGCCATATCCGCCGCCCCTCCCCTGCACGGACATTGAAATGGCCGATTATAATCACTTTAGGTTATACTGTAGTGTGAGTACAACATTACAAGGTACAAATTTTATACTAAACGCTAAATTATTAATGAAATAACAATTTTAATCACGTATTAGTTAATTGCGGTCGTTAATGAGTTGATATTTTCATTCTATAGAAATTATACAATATATTTATGTATTTTGCACAAAGTGCAAAACAATATAAAAATTGTAGTTTTTCATTTTCTATTTTAAAAATACAAGAGTGATTTATCTACAGTATTAAGTGGAAATGTCAATTTGATAATGTGCTTTTAATTTTGTTTCTACAATAGTTTTGATAACTGATCTGATTGTTTAATAAGGTCGGTAGGTATTGTTAAAGACTATATTAAATTTACAATTGTAAAATTAATATAAACAATAGTCTTCGCCAACAATTCTTATTACTATATAAATCAGTAGTTGAAACTATACAAAAAAATTTTACAAACTTATTTTGAATTATCTGATCTCTGTACGACCTAAAGTGAATATTGATCTGATTGTATATAGTTGGGATCTGTCTGTGCCTGGTTTGGTGGAGTGTTATAAATATATATATATGTATATATTTAAAGTCCTTTTGAGTGCTCAATATAAGCGCGAAAAATCTTAAATCCTTATGCTCCAAAACATGACAATTTATATAAATATTTTTTCTTCCATCTTTAGAAGATATTATATTTTTCACAATGTAGGGACCACAAAATGAATTATTAAAAAGTAACAATTCAATTAATTTAGCATATCTTTAATTTGTTAGCAATTTTAAACAAATGCATATAATGCGAATACGACTTATACGTAAACTTTACAACTATTTTATATTGGTACTAATTTAACATATTTGGTGGTCCATAGGTGGGACCAAACCGGTGCACCGAATTTATGGGATTGGGGTAAACTAATAACTATATTTACAATGGAATGATTAACAAATGAAACTATAAAATTATATACTTAATTTTGTCTATGGCCATTTCAATTTCTACTAGGGAGAATGCGTGCGGTTTTTAATATCTTATTTACTATCTATAAACGTACCTATATTATAACACTAAGGTCTTTGGACCACGATTTTTCCTATCTAGATAGAAATTATATATAATGAATTTGGTCTTGATTGCTATGCCTACCATATTGTACGGGAATGACGTTCCTTGAATGATTATAACAGGATTCGATTTGTTAAATTGAGTGTTGTCAAAGTAGCAATATACGCCGCTTTGATAGTCTTCCCCTTTGTTAAATTATCATCAAAATTAACCTAAATGTTAATATAAATGTTTTTCTCAAATTTAAAGCATCGTGGTGCAATGACTAGGTGGGTGTTTATGTCCTAATTGTGCAATAATGTCTTTTATGTGTTGCGCACAAAGTGTAATATGCAATGCCGGCACACGGCAATGTCTGATAGACTCCATTTGTAAGACCTAAAGAAAGTTGATGTGAAATGACAAATTAATGAATCCAATATAGACCTTCTTCTAATGTTGAATACAATATTAATGTAATTTACCTTGTATATACGTATGACCGATTGGTAGATTAATTATATTTTGTGGCTCAAAAGGCCAACTGAAGATGGCGATAGTCCGTACTCGTATGACGTCATACGTAACTTATTCATTTCACATTTTAGTATTGATTGTAAATACATAATGATAATTAATGACATTGTAATTAAAAATATAGACCCTCATCTTACGAATAAAATATTAGAACAATATTTTGTGTGCTACCAATTGTAGTGGCCGTTAATTTATGCAGATCTTTAATTTATGATTCATTTCTTAAAATGATATACTATAAAATATTTATTACTTGTTTCATTGGATTGTATAAAGTAGGTTAATGTGGATGTTACTAACTAATAGATATGTTTATTTCTCGTATTTATTTCGTTCGTTGTGAGGGCTCGTTCGAGCCGCAACGTTTACTGGCAACCATTCCGGTCCTGTAGATGAATACAGCTACACACAATGTAGGTACATTATATGTGATAAAAGTAGGCCCGGTAGGTACATCGACGCTGTGCGTGAATCACCCAGTAGTTACTAGAACTTGTCTCTTTAAAACTCTTTCCATCCATATTCGGCGCGAATTGAAGAGTTTGCTTTAAAATGACGTGGATGGAATAGGATGTACTCGAATCACAACAGGGCTCAAAAAGCTATTTATTTGATTAATAGATTAATATTTATACAGAGATTCAATTTTGCTGTAGTTAGGTAATGTATGGGACGGTAGTTTTATATGGATGACATTCGTTTTCTTTACTTTCTCAACGATCTGTTGTAAGTCCAAGCAATTATTAAATCTCGTTGCCGCTTTTATAAATGTTGAATAAATAAAGTTAATTGTCACTATACTATCGCTTTTAGGTGACTAATTTCTATTCATAATAAAGCGTATACATAGATATATTTATGTCACCATCGTAAGCATAAGTAACTTTCAACTTTGTAAATAACTTAACATATTCATTTGGTATTTAATTGTTTACAGCAGTAGTAAACTGATGTATTGCTTGTTTTTGTTCTGAGTCCGACACCGGCTTACACACTCGATCGTAGACATAATTGTACTTGGCTAAACACTAGAAAGTATCCTGATAATAATTTAGCATAGAATAAAATATATAGATATAAGATCAAAAAGTATTATCCAAATTTAGACATGCTATGTGTTAATGTTTCAATTGAAATAAATATGTTTTGTCGTCGGGATCATGGTGTAACGGATTGAAGGATGCACATTAAGCTGTGCTTATATTAATTTTTAACCAGTAAAAGGTATTTTTGCGGTGTTTTGTAATATTGTAATATGAAATATGTGCAATATGATTGTGTAACAAGTTCAAATATTTTTGTGATCTGATTTGGGCCGTATATTTATGTTTATGTAACCTCTAAATTGTTAATGAACGAATAAATGAATTCAATGTTATCAAATAATATATTTTGTTTCTAGTCATTTTTATAACATTCCAAAGTTGTAATTTCTTTTTGTCAAAATAATTAGAATAATGTATTTTGCATAGCAAAATGATGTTTAAGTAGTTGAATAGTGAGCAGGAATAATAAAATCACGGGTGTGGTCGTGCGGTGGATGTAATAAAGTATATTCTAGTAACATTTTTCTTGGAAGTTTAATTTGCATAGGTTTTATTGATTTCTTATATTTTTGTAATTTCTAAAAGAACTTTTAAATTAGAGATATTGGCCGAGCGAGGCCGTAATTGTACCTATATATTTTTATAGAATACTGTTTAAGCTATGCTGGTATTTTTATATGACTAGCTGTTATTTTCTGACGTTACGTTCTCTATTATTCGTGAATTATTTCTAATGGATCGTTGTTCGAGGACGTTTTACTGATAGTACCGGAGCTTGTATCTACTTTGTTTAGTGCTTTTATTATTGTATACTGAACGATGAGGTGGAAGGTGCGCCGGACGGTTCGCTGACATGCTCGACGGAGGAGCGCCAGCGACTCGCCCGGCCCTTGTGATTTCGATAGTGATTGTTGATTGTTGGGTGAGAATGATATATAAGAAAATTATATATTCTATATATAATTTACGAATTTCATTCAATTTATTGAAAATAAGAACATTGTAATGATTGGTAATATTACTCATTGCTCTAAATGTACTATCAAAATATATTATACACAGTGTTAAAGGTCATAAATAAAATGCTTTGAAAATTTCCACATTATTGTTTCATTGAGATTCTTTTTAAGTCTTAAGTAACAAACTGGCAAACTTTGGCTGAACGAGCTGAATTATTAGAAACTACACAGAAATACTGTACCAGTGCCCTGATCTACTTTTGTATGCAGAGAACCTAATACAAATATACCAACGCTTCTTCTAACACAGAAGTATATTCTAGACAAAGAGTACTCAAAACCTAAGGATATAAAAAATAAGGATTTATTAATTCTATTTGGTACAAGTAAGTAATCCTAGGCTAGAACTCAATTTAAATGTCAATTTAAATTCTGATTCCGCGGTGAATAACTGGATATTATTATACTGATATTTGGATATTACGCCGACTGTACTCTAATCCTCGGATCGATATCATTCCAACAGGAAACGATAAAAGACGTCCAGAGGAAGCCTCACCTATAATATATCAGCACAATAAAAATTCCCTATCCCTGAGGTAAGAGTAAACCTTCAGTCGCTCCCTAAGTCCTTCCGCGGTTTGGAGAGCCCTCTGCACTAATCGCTATTTTCGATCAATTAAACTGCATGCAACTAAGGCCAACAGCATTAGAATAATTCGTAAAATCTAATAGCTGCTGTATTATAGCGATATTAATAAAAATTCAATCTACTTTGTAACAGCAATAGAGCACAATAAGACGTGCAGTACCTGGATTATGTATATATATATATATGATATATATTATGTATGGTATTTATAGCACATTAGGAACGTCACGGTATGAAAAAAAATATTACGAAAAACTTGACGTTCATTAACGGTTAAAGTGTTCTACATAAATAAATTATTTTTGATTTTCATTATTTCAGAAAAAAAGAAGTGCGTCAAACAACAGTTTATCATGTACATATTTTTATTACATAATTTATAACAATATACATAATTTATTGTGTCGCAGTACAAAATATATTAATGAATATATCGAAATTACACCATAAAAAGGTGTACAGTACCTAATAAATATGGTTATATTAATTTAAATATTTGGAATGACCGTAATACACATTTAATGTTATTTGAGTGCATGTATAATATCATAATATGATAATGCAAGGTACACAGTGCTATGCATTCGCCAATATAATATTATGTGATTAATACGATTGTTGCATTACAATCTAATATATGGAAACAACGAAACATAAGATTTACATGAATGGATTATACTGACAAATTTTTTTTGCTTTAGAAATCTAAACATTAGTCTCTACAGCTTTTATAGCTAAATTACAAAAATATATAAAGCGTTTTAAGCGGACAGTTCTTTATAATTGTACATACTATTATATAAATTGGATATATATCGTAATTTATTTGAGCTCCCAATATTTCGAAGCTCTTAGAAACATCTTAGCCAGGAGTCCACTAAAGATGGCGGTGTATGTAAACTATACTGTTTATCTTTCTAACTATCGACTCTCAGAACACTATTTTCACTCGCCGGTTACAGCGTAATGGCCGTATGACGCCAGCAGTGTGCGCTAGAGATTGGATAATACTTCCTTCTCTTTCCTACATATACTACATCAAGTAATATTCCGAACAGACGAATATACTTTTTCTTAGTATTTTCTACGTACGTATCATTACTACATATATGTGTGTTTAGTATTGTTATTAACCTGGGTTTACATTTTAAGGTTCAGTCCAGTCGACGCCCCGTGCCGACTACGGCGTTCGATTGGCGCATTTGCAAACTGGGCGGGACGTACTCACACACCAATGGAAAGGCGTATCCAATTGTTTGAAGAAATGTACGATATTATGTAGTTAGACCAGACGACGATTTCAGATAATGAAAATTCTTAAAAAATAATTTATTTTAAATTCTGATGGTTGATCATTATATCGTATATGTGCGAACCTGTTACAAGCAAGAAAAATTTAAAGATCATTATAAAAAGTCTGGTGGTTCTGGGATCTTGCTCTATTGTAATATGTAAGTATTAGTTATATTTCGTTAAAAAAGATTTGATTAATATATTTACAATATATGAATATAATTACATCCTCTTACGTAATACTTTTATTTGAAATATAAACCGATTGTTCTTTGTCGAGAAGCGAAAAATCAGGAACTTCGAACATTGCGAGACTATCTAGAAATATTGCCGACATTCGTGAAAATTTCATTTCACGAGAAGGGATTTAGGTTTTTATCATAGTCGTCGTCTTCTGCGAATGGGTTGGTGGGATCGTGCATGATTACATCCTCGTCGTTTGCGAATGGGTTTTTAGATTCGTCGTATTCATCTTCGAATGGGTTTGTGCCCGTCTTTATGACTGAGGATATCTTTGGTGAGCTACCAGCGCTGATGGCTTCCTCCACTTTATTTGAAGATCTGGGGGAGTCGAGGGGAGAGGTGCGCGGTACGTGGACCTTCGGCTCCAACCTGTTCATGTTGGCCTCGAGACTGGAACTGTACCGTTGCTGCTCAAGCAAGCGCATCCTGCCTTCCGGGATGGGGACCACTGAGGTGCCTTTAGCTGGTACTTGTTTCGCTGTATTGGTCACAAACACTGAAAAATAAGGGATAATAATACGATATTACTTCTTTATTCTAATGTTACTTTGCTCGAGTTTGGAGTTGACCTAGCGTTTTGCAGAGGCGCAAACGATGTACTTTAGTCCACGTATTTTATAATAATTTCTAGAAATACCATTTTCATACGAGCAACGCAGGACGAATAGAGAAACCACAAAATAGAACAGACTTTTTAGTCTATGACATATTTTTACACATATTGCTACTTTTACATATACACAATATATGTACACTACTTTCTAAGAGAGGTCCTCTTATAGCACTTCCTTTTATTATTTTCTAAGATATAAGATAGCCCAAGTCCGTCCTCATAAAACAACTAATATTCATATGTAATTTAATTAAAATCCGTTCAGCCGTTTCTCATTTATAATATTAATATATTATTTTCTTTGTTTGGTATTTTATCCCTCTTTTAACGGATAAACCTACTATTAAATTTCAAGCTAAAATAGGCCAATTTTTACCTATATATATATATATATATATATATATATATATATATATATATATATAATAACTATGATCACAGATTGAAATTGGTATTAAAAACATGTACAAACTGGTCCTCAAAAAATCATACTCATGAATGTTTGTATCGTGTGAGTAATCGAACTTCAACCAGTAATCGAAACGCGATCATCGGAAAAAGAGCGGTGTGTTAAAGCACTTGACCACTGAGGCCGAAATCAATAGAAAGTTCCTTTATCAAATAAATTTAAATTTAAGTAATTTTTAAATTATTTTATTACCTTGTTTACTCTGCCCCTCTTGTAACCGTAGCTTAGCTTCAGCTCCGGGCCCGTAGGTGGGGGCGGGGGCGGGGGCGGGGGCGGCGGGCGCGGGCGGGGCTGCGGGGGCGGTGGGCTGGCTCGGAGACTCCTGCAGCGCCCCCGTCACCACCGTCAGCTTGTTGAACAGACCGCGCCCGTAGTACTCCGACACTACCGCGTAACTGCACAACAAAATAAGCAGATATTTACAAAGACTTGTAGAATTTACAAAATATAATACACACACTAAAAAAAAATATGATATACATATTATGATATATATATCGTTGTAATATGTTTTCACTGTCGGCTATAAACACTATTTCATTGCCCGATTATTAGTTATGTACATTTGTAGGGATATTTATGTATATTTATTTGTGTTTTATAAAAATATTATGATATTTATTTGCACCACCAACAACTTATCTCTGCACAACTGATTGTCGACTGGTAGAAAATGTCATTCAGGTGTTAAATCCGCCATATGTGCTTTTTACTTATGTGTAACGTGCATTAAAGTTATTTAAATTAAATTAAATATACAGATATGTATATGTATATCCTACGCGAATAAAATGACTTAAGGTGATGTATTCAATAGGATTTTAAATAAACTATATGTTTAAAATCCTTTTTTCATACCTAAGTTCTAATTTAATTAAGATCCGTTGAGCTGTGTATTAGTGAAACGTTAATAGATATCAAACTGACAGACGAATTAAACTCGTACATAAGTTAAGACCAGATTTCAAACATTATCAAAGTACATTAAAAATACAATTTCACTATTATATTGGTTTATCGCCATAATAATTACTCACTTTAATTATAAATGTCATAATTTAAATACATATTACATCACTTTTTCAATTTAATTTTATCTACATTCCAATTTCTACTATTCTTACTTCGGTTAGTACATGTAGAAAATATATAAAAACATATAACGCTCATAAGTATTAACTTATCAATCAATCAATCTGATAATATAATAAAAACATATGTGATAACATAGTATATCATATATCCATGAGCATACCTGTCATCGACTTCAGATGGAAAACACCAAGAAAATGGCGGCATCATCACCGACTTCAATATGGACAAAGTCATCACATCACAACATTTACTTCAACAGCAGTATATATACTGACATGTATATACTAACGATATTACGACTTTATCTATGTAACAGTAGTTCATAAATGGATATTAATGAGTTGTATATGATAGATAAGGTAATAGCAACGTGTAATAATGTGCGCGCGCGCAGCTCACCTGCCACATTACAAAAACTGTGTGATGTCAAATGTTTTGAATACGTGTGGCGTACACAACTGTGTAAAGAGTTTGTTTATATTTATTCGAGTTTTCATAGATGGTGATGATATAGAAAGTAATAATATTGTTGTTCGAATTTGAATCATATTCTTTACATTTCTACATATAATAAAATTCATTAAGATCGCTGAAGAAATTAGGATGAAATTATGTAGAATATGTTAGTAACTATAGTATAAATAAAGTTGAAAAAAGTAATAAAGGGAAGACATAATTAATTTTATGTATTGTTTCAATACGCCATCTACCTGATTATGAATTAGTTAAATAAATAAATAAACCTGGACAATTCAACATAGTGCCATCTAGTCACGATAAGCAGAGCTTGTGTTACGAGTTACAAGACAACTGATATAAATACTTAGTTTATTTTTATAAATACATAAATATGTGTATTAGTATTGTATATTATTGTATAGTATTGTATATATATGTAGTAAATTTGTGTATTTATAAAAAAACTACATAGGATTAATTTATTAATAAAATAAACCCTGTCGTTTGATTTATTATCAATGGTGTCTCCAGATATCACACACAAGGACGAAATCATTTATATAGAACTAAAAGTTTGTTCTACGACACTAACATAAGTAATATAATAAATGTTGAAGTGGGTTTAGTACGCTATGGTTTCAATTATATGGCCCAGTACGCATATAACAACTATGTAGCCTTTTAACGACTGGATTTCTTAAGGACTCTATGATGTAATATAATAATAATTTTATATGAAGAGAGTTCGTTGATGGTAAGAGACATACCTATATATTCAAAACTGATAATAATAATGGAACAAAGAAAAAATTTACTTAAAATGTATATATAAAAGTCTAAAAAGGTACGTGCACATGGTCATTAAGACGAAAAATGAAATAAGTAAATTTTTATACTAGTATTTCATTGTCATGAGGACGAAATCGCGGACAGAAGCTAGTATTATGTATTTTCTGTATTTTATTATTCTTATTTATCGTTATACTAGATTTTTTACGAGGTAGGTACGAAGGCTCGAGTGTCATCAGCCATAGGGGCCTTTGTAACGTAGTTAATTAATTAATGACATTCTTAGTATTATATCTGAGAACGTTGTACACACTTCTTCATTTTATTTTGTACAACTCATAACAACATAATACAACGTAAGTACTATTTATTATATCCAATCGTACTGCTATATTTCGAAAAGCTTGATAGAATTACAATAAAATATCCATAATATAGTAGTTAAGAACTTGAACTTTAGTAAACATTATTTTTATCTATATAATACACGAAGCAAAAGCTTTGTAGCCCCCATAAAGAAAATGCGCGGATAGAGCAGTATGCAATCTCGCACACTTATAGTGTATATAGAGCTCCTGCTCTATGCTAATATTTTTAAATATACATAAAAATCGGTTATTTTTAATCAATAAAAAAACATTACATACACTACCATGTAAATAACACACACACGTGCACATCTTTGTTTATTGTTAGTATTTAAGATTAATATTGTTAATCTTTAATATTATTTGTCAACAACATACAAATACAAATCTAATTTAAAAAGAAAGTTGTGTTACTGCTATTAATTCAGATAAATTAGGGCCTTATTATTGTTCAAACTTATAATAGAAACTAATTAAAGAATATAAGGAAGTGCAACTCACGGGTCTCGTTCCTGCCGCAGCCGCTGGTGTAAGGCGTCGGGCGGCGGCGTGGGCGGCGGGCGGCGCCCCGCCTCACACATCGGGCACTCGCGCTCCGACTCGGAGTAACTCTGAAAACAGCTGCCG